ATTAAACGAGGACTCTTAACGCACTCACGGACTCGCACTGATACACATACACACTCGCACTGACACACACACACACTCAATCATTCGCACGCAACAAACTCGGACACATAAACACACAATGACTCTGCGTACTTCATCACGCGAACTCTCGTAAATGTAGAAAAAAAAGATTCCCCCGTTTCGCCTTAAGTGTCTCCCCAGTGGCGATGTTTACACACCGCACCAGGTCCTCATTTTAGGCGGAGTCGACCTAGGGGAGGCCCAGCGCGGCGCGCAAACCCCCCCCCCCCCGCCACACATACACGCGTTCATAGACGCAGCGGAACACACGAACACACACGCACAGAGGAGACGCGATGGGAGGAGGGTGGGCGGAATGGCTGTTTGAGAGCTGTGTTTGGCTCGAGGCTGATGGAATCCCATCCGGTCGGCTCCAGCGAGCTCCCAGTGAGAGGACCTCCACGTACATCTCTCAGTCTCGGCAGGGAGCGCGACACTGACTCTGTACTCCTCCTCCCCTCTCACCCCCCCCTCACTCCTCCCCCCCCCGACTCCATCCCCCCCCCCCCCCGACTCCATCACCCCCCCCCCGACTCCATCACTCCCCCCGACTCCATCACTCCCCCCCCCGACTCCATCACTCCCCCCGACTCCATCACTCCCCCCCCCCCAACTCCATCACTCCCCCCCCCCGACTCCATCACTCCCCCCCACCCTCCCGACTCCATCACCCCCCCCCCCGACTCCATCACCCCCCCCCCCCCCCGACTCCATCACTCCCCCCCCCCCCCCCGACTCCATCACTCCCTGGCCTATGTTACTCCATCACCTACTTCACTGTTCTGTACTAATGTTTTCCCCTATAAGACGTGTTCCCCTACAAGACATCATCAATGTGTGGGCCTTCACACATTTGAAACCATTGGGGGGTTGACAGCATCACAATAATGATGGGGGGGGGAAGTGTTTTCACCATTTGTGTACTGTCAGGGGCCACACTAGAGGCCACCAGGGACTGCCAGTGGCTTGCCATCACTCCCTCACTCCATCATTCTATGAATCCACCACTCCCCCGACTCCACCACTCCCTGGCTAACTTACCCCAGCACCTACCATCATCACGCCATCACTCCCTCGCTCTATCACTCGCTGCCTCGCATCGCTCGCTCCCATGGCTTGCCCCCCCCCCACCCCTTCACTTCGCCCCCCCCCCCCCCCAATCGATGCGTGGTCGCCACTTTGGACACCTGCTGCTCCCTCGCCAGGGCCCTGCTGAGCCTCACCAGGAATAAACACACCATGTTTACTTGCGCGCGCCAGCTGCCAGGACCTGTTGCTGCTGCTGCTGCTGCCTGTTTATATTTAGACACTCGGCGTTGGGCGGGTGTGTGGGTTTCCAGAGCGTTCAGCAATATCTGGCGTCCCGACGCAAGCCTCGGGCCAGGCTACTAATTGGTAGCGCGCATCGCGAGCTCAACTCTAGCGGTGTAAGGATTTGTGTTTCATCATTATTTATCGTGGGGGGGTGGGGAGGGCGGTAGATGCGTTCCTGATAAGGGCTGCGTGAAGCGAAAGTATAACGCCGCGCCCTCTGCGTTCTAACGGGTGCGCATTGTGCGTTGTCCAAAAAGTGTTATTCCGAAAGAAAGAACCACGTTACAGCGAAAATCATTCCATGAATCCATCACCCTCCCGACCCCATCGAAAACCGTGTTTGAGTAAAAACTGCGTGTTAAGCGAGGACTGAACGTGATTACCAAATTTGGAAAATGAGCCATCGATATTACTTCGGACATTTGCGAGACAAACGCTGCCGGGGGTGGTGCTAGCCACACCACCCATTCATGTGTCGGGCTGAATTTTAATAGGAGCTCCTAGTAATAAAGACAAAGATCCCCCTTAAACATACCATTGGGGCAAGTGCTGTTAGCAAGTAGCACCTATGAAGGCCAGCACGGCACACGAGGGGGTGGGTGGACAGCGCCACGCCCGGCCGCCTTTGTCTCCCCAGTGGCGATGTTTACCCACCGCACTAGGTACTGATTTTAGGCTGAGTCGACCTAGAGGAGGCCCAGGACCGGTTCAGATAACAGTCGTAAGCGGGAATCGAACTCGGGACGCCGGGTTCGTAGCGCAGCGCGCTAACCGCTACACCACGGCACACTCCACACACACTCGCACACAGACGGGGGAGGCTGGTTTCAAACTGCAGCGGCTAGAAATCAAATTCCCCAAACAAACAGAGCCCTTACCCCCGCCCCTGCCAGGCAGCTGCGTTCATTCCGGACGGAGCTTAATCCCCTCTCTCAAATAAACAACCACCCCCAACCCCCTGGAGTTGTTATCTGTCAGCTGGACCGCGATGACGCGGGGACCCCTCGTCCTCCGCCTGGTCTCGGCCCCCCCCACCCCCCACTGGCACCATGCCCCGGCCGCCGTAGTCTCCCCCCTCGCCGCACGCCCTGTTCGCCCGAGCGGCGGCGTGGCCGTTGACTTGATTCAAAGCCGCGGTAGCGAGGAAATGATCTGCGCTCCGACGCTGCTGCCGCTGCTCTCGCCGTGTATGATGATTATTGTTATAGCCTGACCAGGAAACCATTCGTCATGCGGGATGGGAGGTGGGGTGGAGGGGTCCGCCTTGGGCTGTGGGAGTGGGCCCTGACTCTCATCTCACGCGGGGCCCCGGTGTGGGCGATCGGGCTCCGAGTCTTGACGTGCGCTGTCTCACTCTCTCATTCGTGCTCAGCCACGGCACGGTGATGGTCCGTGGCCCTCTTAAGTTACTTGCTCCGTCGCTCGCGAGCTCCGTCACTCGCTAGCTCCGTCACGCGCTACAGTAAGGGGAAAAAGCATTTGATCCCCTGCTGATTTTGTACGTTTGTCCAGTGAGAAAGAAATGATCAGTCTATAATTTTAATGGTGGGTTTATTTGAACAGTGAGAGGCAGAATAACAACAAAAAAATCCAGAAAAACGCATGTCAAAAATGTTATAAATTGATTTGCATTTTAATGAGGGAAATAAGTATTTGACCCCCTCTCAATCAGAAAGATTTCTGGCTCCCAGGTGTCTTTTATACAGGTAACGGGTTGAGATTAGGAGCACACTCTTAAAGGGAGTGCTCCTAATCTCAGCTTGTTACCTGTATAAAAGACACCTGTCCAAAGAAGCAATCAATCAATCAGATTCCCAACTCTCCACCATGGCCAAGACCAAAGAGCTCTCCAATGATGTCAGGGACAAGATTGTAGACCTACATAAGGCTGGAATGGGCTCCAAGACCATTGCCAAGCAGCTTGGTGAGAAGGTGACAACAGTTGGTGCGATTATTCGCAAATGGAAGAAACACAAAAGAACTGTCAATCTCCCTCAGCCTGGGGCTCCATGCAAGATCTCACCTCGTGGAGATGCAATGATCATGAGAACGGTGAGGAATCAGCCCAGAACTACACGGGAGGATATTGTCAATGATCTCAAGGCAGTTGGGACCATAGTCACCAAGAAAACAATTGGTAACACACTACGCCGTGAAGGACTGAAATCCTGCAGTGCCCGCAAGGTCCCCCTGCTCAAGAAAGCACATATACATGCCCGTCTGAAGTTTGCCAATGAATGATTCAGAGGACAACTGGGTGAAAGTGTTGTGGTCCGATGAGACCAAAATGGAGCTCTTTGGCATCAACTCAACTCGCCGTGTTTGGAGGAGGAGGAATGCTGCCTATGACCCCAAGAACACCATCCCCACCGTCAAACGTGGAGGTGGAAACATTATGCTTTGGGGGTGTTTTTCTGCTAAGGGGACAGGACAACTTCACCGCATCAAAGGGACGATGGTCGGGGCCATGTACCGTCAAATCTTGGGTGAGAACCTCCTTCCCTCAGCCAGGGCATTGAAAATGGGTCGTGGATGGGTATTCCAGCATGACAATGACCCAAAACACACGGCCAAGGCAACAAAGGAGTGGCTCAAGAAGAAGCACATTAAGGTCCTGGAGTGGCCTAGCCAGTCTCCAGACCTTAATCCCATAGAAAATTTGTGGAGGGAGTTGAAGGTTCGAGTTGCCAAACGTCAGCCTCGAAACCTTAATGACTTGGAGAAGATCTGCAAAGAGGAGTGGGACAAAATCCCTCCTGAGACGTGTGCAAACCTGGTGGCCAACTACAAGAAACGTAACCTCTGTGATTGCCAACAAGGGTGTTGCCACCAAGTACTAAATCATGTTTTGCAGAGGGGTCAAATACTTATTTCCCTCATTAAAATTCAAATCAATGTATAACATTTTTCACATGCGTTTTTCTGATTTTGTTGTTGTTATTCTGTCTCTCACTGTTCAAATAAACCTACCATTAAAATGATAGACTGATCATTTCTTTGTCAGTGGGCAAACGTACAAAATCAGCAGGGGATCAAATACTTTTTTCCCTCACTGTAGCTCCGTTACTCGCTAGCTCCGTCGCTCGCTAGCTCCATCACACTCCATCGACCTTCCCACGGCACCTGTGTGTGGTCGGGATGAGTCTGCGATTTAAACACTTCGGATTTGAATTTTGATTTAAAGCTTTCGTGACTGCAGTGATTCATATTCTTGGTTCTTTCGGTAAAGTCACACTTCGGATTTGCCAGGACTTTTTGCGTTTCTCTGTTACTCGGTCATTCACATTCCGTGCATGGACATTGCTTCGTCATTTACACGCCTGCAATCGGCACTGTGCAACCAGCACTGTGGAGGCAGCAGCGAGGGTTGGTGGATCACCACAGAGATGTTGGGAAACTTTCTTCCCGTGGGCATCGAGGAGGAGGAGCCCATACCCCAGGCTCTGCCAGCAAAAATGTGAACCCTGCCTGTTCCATCTGTACGGGATCGAGTGTTTGCCCCCTCGCATGCATGGGCTATTTCCGAGTGAGTTCCTCTCTACTATGGTCGCACCGATTTGCTCATCCCTGCGGTTCCACCAAGTTGCGCTCTCTCTCTCTCTCTGTCTCCGCTGTGGTCGCTGCAGACGTCCGACCGGGCAGCAGCAGCAGCACGAGGAGGAGGCCCGAGGGGAGCGCGCGGCCACGGAGAGCGGCCACGGCGCGGCCCGAGAGGATCTGGCCCGGCGGCGTCATCCCCTACGTCATCGGCGGAAACTTCACCGGTGAGCAGGAGGCGGGAGGCGGGAGGGGGGTGGTGGTGAGGAGCGGGGAAGGGGAGGGGGGACCCTGTGGTACCGCCGGCGTCCGACGGCGTCCGACTGCGGAGGCCCTCTCGGTACCCATGCGCCGCCAGGCCTGGAGAGCCGAGCCCGCTTGGGTCCGCTGAGCCGGCGCTCCTGTGGCAGGCAGCCGGAGCGGGCGCAGCGATGGATTCGTGAATCTATCCGTGCGGAGCTCTGCCTTTTAAGCACGCGTGTCCCAGGACTTTCCCCGAGCAGCAGCACTTGCCATCCCAACAGCCTGTTAAAGGCTACCTGGTGGATCTTTGTCTTTGTAAGGGTGTGTGACACGGGGTGTGAGTCAGCGTGTCATGTGTCAATGGGGGCGGTAGTGCAGTGAGATGTAGGGACAAGTCATTATGCAACTGCAAGAACATAAACTGGCAGTCTTTAGTCTGTGACCACATGTATGTGTGTGTGTGGGCAGCGGTAATCGTAGTGGTTAGCGCGCTGCGCTACGAACATCCTGTTCAATTCAGAGTTCGATTCCCGCTCGTGGCAAACACCAGTGATGTTTATCGGGAACCGTCCTGGACCTCCCCTAGGTCGACTCAGCCTCAAATTAGTCTCTGGTGCAGTGTGTGCGAACATCGGCACTTGGCAGACAAAAAGGTGGCCGGGCGTGGTGCTGGCCACCCACCCCCTCGTGTGCCTTGCCGGGCTTCACGGGTGCTGCTCGCTAACAGCACTTGCACCGACAGTCTGCGTAGGCTACACGGGGGATCTTTGTCTCTGTGCGCATGTGCAGGGAGCCAGCGCGCGATGTTCAAGCAGGCGATGCGGCACTGGGAGCGCTTCACGTGCGTCACCTTCGTGGAACGCAGTGAAGAGGAGAGCTACATCGTCTTCACCTACCGGCCGTGCGGGTGGGACTGCGCGACGACGCGATGCGACCGAGCGATGACGTCACGGGACCGAGCGATGACGTCACGGGACCGAGCGATGACGTCACGGGACTAAGCGCTGACGTGCCGGGACTGAGCGCTGACGTGACGAGACCGAGCGATGACGTCACGGGACCGAACGATGACGTCACGGGACCTATTGATGACAACACATAACCTATTGATGACGGGATGGGACCTCAAGAGAGTGTCGATGCATTTGGGCTCGCCTCTCTATAGATGTAGGTAGGGATGATGAGTCAACCCCCCCCCCCACCAACCATGAGTTGAACTTGTGACCTCGCGATTGCGAGCCACTCGCTTGGTCCGCCCTGGCCAGTGACAAAACCGATGACGTCATGGGATGGTGGTGGTGGCGGCAATCGGTGGCAGTGGTGGTTGTGGCGATGGTGTTGGCAGTGGCGGTGGTGATGGCAATGGTGGTGGCAGTGGTGGTAGCTGTGGCGATTGTGGCGGTAGTGATGGCGATGGTGATGATGGTGATGATGGTGTTGATGGTGTTGATGGTGTTGATGGTGGTGGTGGTGCCGGTGGCGGCAGTGGTGATGGAACGATGACAAAACCGACCGGCGTGGTCACGTGACCAGCGAGGGGCAGCCTCAGCTGGAGGGGGGGGGGGCGTGGATTGCGTAACGTGCGGGCAGAGGGCCGGAATGGAACGAGATGGCTTGTGAGGAGGAGGAGGGGCCTAGTGGGTGAAGCCCCCCCCGGTGGCTCTCATTTTATTAGAGCCACATTGTCACCACTCCCACCTCCTTCCCAGCACCACAGCAGCGCCAATCACCCCCCCAAGGCCCCCTCCCCAATTCTCTCGCAGTTGCTGACGAGAATAACGGAGGCGCGGAGAGCGATTGCCCACAATTCCTTGCGCGCGCGCATGACAGGTGTAGTGAGTTAGCTGTGATGAGTTAGCTGTGATTAGTTAGCTGTGGTTAGTTAGCTGTGGTTAGTTGGCTGTGTATTCTTGATTCTTTCGGTAAAGTCACGTAGAAGGGAAACAATAAAATAATAAAAATACGTGACTTCACCGAAAGGACCAAGAATATGACTCCCTGCAGTCACGAAAGCTTCAAATCAAAATTTAGTTAGCTGTGGTTAGTAACTTTGGCTAGTTAACTGTGGTCAGACACCACGGCGAGTTAACCACGGCTAGCTCAATTGTGGTCGGTCACTGCGGTGAGTTAACCGTGGCTGGCCACCGTGGCGAGTTGGCGGTGGCTAGTTCAGTTTCAGTTTAATTCATTAGGAGGTATAACCCTGTGAGCCATGCGGCTCTTGACTCGGGCGCAACCACAACAAAACAAAAGCATGAACAAGAAAACGTCTTAAAGTGACTACGCGCAACAGAAAAATCCAGGAAAAAAACAGCAAAGTCTTTCAGTTAACCGTGGTTAGCAACTAGCGGTGGGTGAGTTAACCGGCCGGAGTGTGTGTGGGGGGGGGGGTGTCCGTCCACAGCTGTTGCTCGTTTGTGGGCCGCATGGGCGACGGGCCGCAGGCCATCTCCATCGGGAAGAACTGTGACAAGTTCGGCATCGTGGTGCATGAGCTGGGCCACGTGATCGGCTTCTGGCACGAGCACACGCGGCCCGACCGGGACCACCACGTGGGCATCGTACGCGAGAACATCCAGCCCGGTGGGCCGTCGTCGGCGTCATTGGCATCGTTGTTATCATTGTAGTCGTTGTTATCGTCGTCATCGTCATCGTAGTCATTGTTATCGTCGTCATCATCATCGTAGTCATTGTTGTCATCGTCATCGCAGTCGTTGTCATCGTCATAGTCATTGTTAACATCATAGTCATTGTTATCGTCATTATCGTAGTCTTTGTTATCGTCATAGTCATTGTTAACATCATAGTCATCGTCATAGTCATTGTTAACTTAGTCATTGTCATCGTCATTGTTAACATCATAGTCATTGTCATCGTCATCATCGTAGTCGTTGTTAACATCATAGTCGTTGTCATCGTCATAGTCATTGTTAACGTCGCTCATTGTTATCATCATCAGCATCATAGTCGTTGCTATCGTCATCGTCATAGTCATCGTCATAGTCATTGTTAACATCATAGTCATTTTTATATTCTTGGTTCTTTCGGTAAAGTCACGTTGAAGGGAAACAATAAAATAATAAAATATATATAAAACAATAACATTCTCACGACGTTTCGACTGCAACACAAGCAGTCATCATCAGGTGTGAAAACCAACGGCAAGAACATTTGAAAGAAGTGGCGGTTTGTATTTATTTATTTATTTTTAAACGTTAGCGCCACGGATAGCGATTTGACAGTTTGTTTAGATGGACGAAAATAATGGGTGCTGTCTGAATGCCACCGTAAGCGTGATCAATTAAGACCCAAAATGGTTTATCAAATCCTTCCAATGATTGCTAAGCCAGAATCCATCTTATAGTCATTGTCATCGTCATCATCGTAGTCGTTGTCATAGTCATTGTTAACGTCATAGTCTTGTTAACATCATAGTCATTGTTATCGTCATCAGCATCATAGTCGTTGTCATCGTCATTATTGTCATCGCCACCGTCATGGGCGTCATCATCATCGTTGCCACCGTCGTCATCATTTTCGTCATTGTCGTTGTTATTGTCGTCATCCTCGTCGTCGTCGTCATCAACATTACTATCAACATCATCGATCGTGTGGACACAATCGGTATTGTGTTGGTGAACATCTGACCTGGTGGGCCATCGTCACCGCCATCACTCACCCCCGTCATCATCATCATGATCATTGCCATCATTGGCATCATCGTCATGACCATGATCATCACAATCGTTACTGTTGGCATGATGGTCACGCCGGTAATGTGTGGGAAAAGATCCAGCCTGGACAACATGGTCAACATCAACATCACCACCACCACCACCATCATCTGTGTGTCGTTAGCATTGTCAGTGTTGTTATCTTTGCATTCCCCCTCGTCGTCGTCGTCGTCATGGTCAGAGTAATTATCGCTATCACCCAGATCATCATCATCATTTGTGCGACAAGCTTCATTGTAAGCCATTGTAATCATCATCATCATGGTCACCTCGTTTGGAATGTCTCCGTGTTGTCATGGTGGGGTCACAGGTCAGGAGGAGAATTTCCTGAAGATGGAGCCGGGAGAGGTGGACTCTCTGGACGAGCCGTACGACTTTGACAGCATCATGCACTACTCACGCAACACCTTCTCCCGGTCAGTGTCAACCTCGCCCAGCACGTCCACCGCATCCACCACGTATACCACACCGCGTCCACCACACACCGCGCCCACCACACACCGAGCCCACCATGTCCAAACCACACACCGGCACTGCGTCCACCACACACTGCGTCCACCACGTCCATCACGGACACACCATAACCGCACACACCACACACACAGCCCACTAGAACTGCCTCGCATGCCACAGCCACTGAACCACACACACCGCTCACGCCACACACACACACACACCGTGGCCTCCTTCCTGCCAGGGAGCCTTCCACACTGCACGCGGTCCCACTTCGCGAGGGCTGAAGGTGCACCCAGCCTGGTGTAGCCAATCCGTGGCATGTTGCAGATGCCTCGCCCGTCGCGCCTTCTCCCCGTCCGTCGCGGATACGACCGTTCGCGCCGAATTTAATGAGCTAAAGTTCGCCCATCGAGCCCCCTGCCCTGTGTGGGCGCCTCGACCATTTGCGATTGCCCGCGGGATTCCTGTAAGTACGCATCGTAGAGAAGTGCTGTTGCAGGGACCCCCAAACTGCACTGCACTGCTCGCGATGATGATGCTGCTGCTGCTGCTGCCGCGGAGGAAATACACGCGGTGTCGTCTCGTCTCCATCTTGTGTCCCACGCAAACCCAGCCCGGGTCACATGGTGCTCCCAGGGTCACAGTGAAGTAGGCAGAGGGAGGAAGGTTCAGGCAGCCCGCAATCTTTCCTTTACTCCTTTGTTGTTGCTGCTGTGCTATATTTTGTTTGACTTCCACCGACTCTCAACGTTTACCGCGCAAATAGGAGTCGTATTTTACTTCGCGTTTCACGTTCGGAGTTAAAGTAGGGTAACGTCAAAACAAACGGGGAGAGGGGTGGGCGTCGTGCTACTCATCGTGAACCAGATCCTCGAGTTTTCCCATTTGCGCTTCGAGTTTGCGGATCGCGGATTTGCCGATTGCGGCGAATTTCAAGAACGTAGCCGGGCCTGCGAAGAACATGTGGGTTTGGTGTGTTTGCACGTAAGTGTGGTGTACGTATGTTTGTGCGTAAGTGTGGTGTACGTGTGTTTGTGTATGGCACAGTGGTTAGCGCCCTGCGCTACGAACCCGGCGACCAACGTTCGAATTCTGCCGACAATCCAACAACAGTGGCCAATACAGTATCTGAACCGGTCCTGGCCCTCGCTAAGGTCAACTTCAGCTTTGAAATGACTACCTGTTGCAGTGCGTAAACATCAGCAATGACGGGGAGACAAATGCGGCCGGGCGTGGCGTTGGCTATTGACAGCACTTGTCTCAACAGCGTTCTCAAAGGCTATGTAAGGGACCTTGGTCTTTTGATTGTGTGCTTGTTTGCGTGTGACTCTGCATGTCCACACGTGTCTCCGTGTCTCTGTCTCAAAGTGTCTCCGCATCTCCATGTACGTGGCCCACGTGTCTCAGCAGCCTTTTCGAGGCTTCACGGACGGTGGGGGGGGGGGGGGTCATCGTGTGGGATCATCGTCTTTGTGGGATCATTGTTTGTGGGATCATCGTCTTTGTGGGATCTCTGTCTCTGTGGTATGTGTGTGTTTGGCAGGGGCATGTTCCTGGACACGATTCTGCCTCGCAAGGACGAGACCGGAGTGCGCCCGGCCATCGGCCAGCGAACGCGGCTCAGTAAAGGGGACATTGCGCAGGCCAACAAGCTCTACCGCTGCCTGGGTATGCACAACAGCAACAATAACAACAGCAGCAACAACAATAACAGCAGCCGCCTTTCGCCACTAAGTGGCGGTGATGTCACCACGGCGCTTGTGCCAGGCCACGTGCACTCCCAAGGCCACGTGCACTCCCAAGGCCACGTGGCAAGCCGATGGTCAGTGGGCAGAAGAGCTCCTCGGTGTGTCGAGGACGCGGGGGCCTGCGTCCGCTATTCCATCACCGTGTAATCCAGCAGATATTATTGCTTGCGCCAGGCATGAATCCATGATGTTGTGTGGCTGCGCTGATGCCGGAACAGCGCGTTGGTAATTACAAGCCCATGGGCTGCACAGCAGTCTGGCAGCCTGCTACCCTTGTTATTGAGCTGGCCCGGCCCGGCCCATGCCTTCAAATGACTCCGGCCCAAGTGTCTGCGTCATGACCCACTCGGGCATATTAAAGTCACCCAACAGGAGGGTGACTCTGTCCCGGGGGGCCACTTTAGCTAGCACCTGGGACAGGAGGTTATAGAAGGCGTCTGACTCATCGGCCTTGTCTGGGTACGCACGCACGAACGGACACGTGCCCACACAGACGAAGGTCCCCCAGGTAGCCTACACAGCCTGTGCCGACAAGCAACTGAAGAGGCTCGTGTGAAGGGCTGGCAGCAGGGCAGACCTGTGAGTTGGTGGTGTGACCAACACCGCCCATGCCAGACCGTTCTTGTCTCCCCAGTGTTGATGTTTTACACACCAACACCGGGGACGATCATCTGAACCGGTATTGGGCCTCCCCTAGGTCGACTCAGCCTCACGCGAGTCTGTAGTGCGCTGTGTAGTTAACATGGGCACTCGAGAGTCAAAGGCGGCGGGCGTGGTGCTGGCCACCGACCCCCTCGTGTGCCGTGCCGGCCTTCATAGGTGCTCCTCGCTAACAGCACTTGCCCCCACAGTCTGTAACGGCTATACAGGGGATCTTTGTATTTGTGCACGTGTGGAAACTCTGTGAGTGACGAGCAGAGTGCTCGTGTCGTGGTGGCAGCCGCTTACAGCAAACGCCCCCCCCCCCCTTCCCTCACCAACGCTGTTGAAGCTTCGCCGTTCTGGCTCGGATTGGCATCTCCCTTCGGTGCAGCTCACCCCCCAGCCCCCCCCTCCAACCCGCCCCCATCCCCCCCTACCCCGCCCCCATCCTCCCCCAGCTGCCAACCACACGGTTTTGGGAAACCTGGAATGTGAGAGCCCAAAGGATGCCAGAAAAGAACGTTCCCCCACACGTGGGTACGCCAGGCACCACCAACAACGCCAGGCACCACCAACAACGCCAGGCACCACCAACAACGCCAGGCACCACCAACAACAATGCCAGGCACCACCAACAATGCCAGGCACCACCAACAATGCCAGGCACCACCAACAATGCCAGGCACCACCAACAACAATGCCAGGCACCACCAACAATGCCAGGCACCAACAACAATGCCAGGCACCAACAACAATGCCAGGCACCAACAACAATGCCAGGCACCACCAACAACAACGCCAAGCACCAACAACAACGCCAGACACCACCAACAATGCCAGGCACCACCAACAACAATGCCAGGCACCAACAACAATGCAAGGCACCACCAACAATGTCAGGCACCACCAACAACAATGCCAGGCACCAACAACAATGCCAGGCACCACCAACAACAACGCCAAGCACCAACAACAACGCCAGACACCACCAACAATGCCAGGCGCCAACAACGGCAGGCGCCACCGTATGACTGTGTGTGACTGTGAGTGACTGTGACTGGCTGTGCCTCCCCGTGACTCGCCCCACCCCCACCCCCACCTCTCTCTCTCTGTCGCTGTGTGCGCAGCGTGCGGGGAGACGCTGCAGGACATGACCGGGAACCTGTCGTCCCCCGGTTACCCCAACGGGTACCCGTCCTACTCACACTGCATCTGGAGGATCTCCGTCACCCCCGGCGAGAAGGTGACATCGCTTCTCCACATCGTCACCTCCTCCACATTATCACCTCCGCATCGTCACCTCCTCCACATTATCACCTCCTACACAATGACCTCCTCCACAATATCAGCTCCTCCACATCGTCACTGTTCCACGTCATCACCTCCTCCACGTTCTCACCTCCTCCACATTACCACTCCTCCACTTCATCACTCCTCCACATCTACACGTCTTCCACGTCATCAATTCCGTAGATCATCACTCAACTCCTCTCGTGTGATATGTCGACAATTCCAACGTGTCATCACCGGATTCCTCCCTAGGTTAATGGCAGGGCTCGTGTTGGGGGTATAGGGATACAGTGTTAGTGATATGGCTGCGGTGTTGGGGCTGCAGCGGGTGATCCGTGCTGACCGCGCTGCCCGCAGATCGTGCTCAACCTCACGGCGCTCGACCTCTACCGGAGCCGCCACTGCTGGTATGACTACGTGGAGGTGCGCGACGGATTCTGGAAGCAGGCGCCACTCCTGGGTACGTGCCCCCCTCCCCGCCCCCCTCTCCACCCCACCCCCCTCCCCACCCCCCCTTCCCCCAAACATCTCCCAGCATCACCCCCCCTTCCCCACCCCCCCCCCTTCCCCTCCAACATCTCCCAGCATCATCACCACCACCTCCCCATCCCCTTACCCTAACCCCCCAAAGCAAATACCTCGCCTGGTGTACAGAAGGTCGTGGGTTCGATCCCGACCCTCACACCTGCTGTATATTTGCGGTTTGCGGTGTCTCTCTCTCTCTGCCCAGCGGTCGCGTGGATTTTTCTCTGGGTCCTCCGGTTTTTCCCTTCCATCATTTAGCATCAACATCAGCAAGTGTTTGGCTGCTATAAATGTCCACATGATGCGAAGCCGCTTTGTTCAGCTGTCATCTGTGATTTCAAGGTCGCTTCTTCAAAAAAAAGCTACGCAGCTCAGTGGTAAAACACAAAAAGTCTATAGTCGTGGAATTAGAATGTTCCCCTAACTACTAACCCTAATTCCGTAACGCTATCCCTTAACCCCATTCTCCAACCTTAACCTTAATCCCTGTAATGCTAATCCATTAACGCTCATCCTCTAACCCCTATCCCCTAACCGTGGTACTGCTCCCCTGCCCCCCGTGCCCTGCAGGGAAGTTCTGTGGGGACCGTGTGCCCGGCTCGCTCGTCTCCTCCGACAGCCGCCTCTGGATCGAGTTCCGCAGCAGCAGCAACTGGGTGGGCCGCGGCTTCTACGGCACCTACGAGGGTGAGCGTGCCCACCCCCCTCCCCCCTCCTCCGTCAGAGTCCACCAGCGACTCCAGCAACACCAGTAGCCAGTACTAGCACCAGGATCATCACCCCTGGCACCACCAACAGCATCATCATTCCACCACCACCAGCAGCACCACTACAATCGCGACTAGCAGCAGAACTAGCAGCGGCACCACCACCAGCCACACAGCCCAGAAGTCATTGTCAAACAGAGCGGAAAGAGTGGGCTGTTGTTTGCTGGCGTCACGGTCAGAACCAGCCCCCACGCTATGCAAGTTATTCGCAGAAGATCTCGCGGAATAAAGAAAAAAACCGCAAGGCAAGTCGTCGCCCCCCCTTCCCGGAAAACCACCGCAGACTCCGCCCACCCGTGGCATGCGGCGGCGGCGGCGGCAGCGGCGGCGGCGGCGGCGGCGGCGGCAGCGGTGGTGGCGGCGGCGGCGGCGCCTCCCTTGGCGATAGCGCCGCGCCGTAGGCATGGCGAGAACACCGACCGCGCGAGTGCAGCTTTGGTTTCGTTTTGATCTCGCTCGGTGAGACGGGGGCGCAACCCCCGTGGTGTTCACCCCCCCGAGTGATGTCCCTCGCCCCGCCAGCGATCTGCGGCGGGGAGCTGCACAGGGACTCGGGCACCATCCAGTCGCCCAACTACCCCGACGACTACCGCCCCTCCAAGGAGTGCGTGTGGAAGATCGTGGTGCCCCAGGGCCACTCCGTGGGCCTCACCTTCCAGTCCTTCGAGGTGAGGACCCCCACCCCACGTCGCACCGGTCCTCTCAGTTCCCATTACTCCCAGTCTCCCGTGCTCCCATGCTTCCAAGTTCCCGAATTCCCATGCTCCCTAGCTCCCATGCTTCCGTGTTCCCGTGCTCCCTAGCTGCTGCGCTCCCCCGCCGTCGCGTGACACCTGCTGCCACCGTGCCCCACCCGCGCGCAGGTGACCTCGTCAAGGAACATAAACTATCACGTGAGCTTTGGTCATCCTCGCAGCAGCGGCTTTTGGCTAGCCAAAGACGGTGGTCGCCCCATCGCGCGCTTTCGGACGCGCTTCTGCGGCCGTCTGGGACGTTCTTTCTTCCGATATTACGAAAACTCACTTCTTAAAAACTTTTTGTGTCTGACTCGTTGCCCTTCTCCCCACCCCCCCACAGCCCGCACCTCCGTTGAGCACGGTCGGCTACGTACGGCGCGAAGCAATCTCACCGTACGTGCGTGCGTACAGGTGGAGCGCCACGACACGTGCGCGTATGACTTCCTCGAGATCCGCGACGGCGACTCGGAGAGCAGCAAGCTGGTGGGGCGCTACTGCGGCTACGACAGGCCGAGCGACGTGCGCTCGAGCAGCAACAAGCTGTGGATGAAGTTCGTCTCCGACGGGACCATCAACAAGGCCGGCTTCTCCGCCTCCTTCTTCAAGGGTGAGCGGTTGGCGCCGGTGGACGCGGAGGATTCGGGGAACGAGGCGGGAGAGGGAGACGCGCCGTATCGCTGTGGCTCGTGTCGCTGCGTGAAGAGGGGGGGGGGGGGGCGAGCGGGCTTGCGGGGAGGAGCATGACAATCCGAAGGAAAACGCTCACCCAAACTCGAGTGCCGACGAGCGAGCCAATCGCCCACTTGTAGGAGGCCTACCCCTAACCCCAACCGGCCGACCGCTCGCGAGTACTAACCAGGATGGCCAATCACCAGCGGCTACCCCGAACCACCCAGCCAGCCTCTCGTCCTAACCAACGAGCCAGCCGGCCACCAATACTCGCCTTTCCCTGAACCCTTACAAACCAGCCGCAAGTACCAGCCCTGGCTCTAACACACTCCCGCTAGCCAACCCCCGCTCTTGTTATCAGTCGCTAAACCTCAGAAGGGAACTAATGGAGGTGTCCGGTGTGGATGTGGAGTGTAACGGTGAGTGGCGGTGTAGTGGTGGGCGTGATGGAGAGTGGCGCGGTGATTGTAATGACGTGGCGTGCCGTGGTGAGTGTGACGGCGGTCGCGTGCCGTGGTGAGTGTGACGGCTGTGGTGTGACGCCGATGGCATGACGACGGTGGCGAGACAGCGGTGAGTGTGACGGCGGTGAGTGCGACGCCGATGATGTGACGCCGATGGTCGCGTTCCGTGGTGAGTGTGACGGCTATGGTGTGACGCCGGTGGCGTGACGGCGCGTTGTGCTGCTGCTCCTGTTGTAGAGACGGACGAGTGCTTGCGCTCCGATCGTGGTGGCTGCGAGCAGCGCTGCATCAACTCCTTGGGCAGCTTCACGTGCGCCTGTGACCCCGGGTACGAGCTGGCACCCGACAAGAGGACTTGCCACGGTACACGGGCCCCGCCACCCATGCAGCGCCGCCACCCAGCAACCCACCACACGCCACCTGCATCACCACCTGCACCGCCACCCAGCAACCCACCACACGCCACCTGCACCACCTGCACCGCCACCTGCACCACCTGCACCACCTGCACCGCCACCTGCACCACCTGCACCACCACCTGCACCGCCACCTGCACCAACTGCACCGCCACCTGCACCGCTACCTGCACCACCACCGGCACCCAGCAACCCACCACATGCCACCTGCACCACCTGCACCACCTGCACCACCACCTGCACCGCCACCCAGCAACCCATCACACGCCACCTGCATCACCTGCATCACCTGCACCACCACCTGCACCGCCACCTGCACCGCCACCTGCACCGCCACCCAGCACCCAGCAACCCACCACACGCCACCTGCACCACCTGCACCACCACCTGCACCACCACCTGCACCACCACCTGCATCACCACCTGCACCGCCACCCAGCAACCCACCACACGCCACCTGCACCACCTGCATCACCTGCATCACCTGCACCACCACCTGCACCACCACCTGCACCGCCACCCAGCAACCCACCACACGCCACCTGCACCACCTGCACCACCACCTGCACCACCACCTGTACCACCACCTGCACCGCCACCTGCACCGCACCCAGTGCGTGCCCGCTCACTCTTCCTGTGTCCCACTCCCGTCCCTCTCTCCTCTCTCTGAGCTCTCTCCTCCATCCCTCCTGCTCCCTCCTCCATCACAATTCCCCCAACCCCTGCCCCCCAAACCGCTCAACCCTCCTCCTCCTTCCCACTGTTCCTTCCTCTTCCTCCCTGTTCCAAATGTCTAATTATCGTCGGTTCTAATGTATTAATGCTACGTCGTGTGTTTCCGCGTTTTTTTATAATGCCAATTAACATTTTGATATCACAATCGTACAATTAACGTCAATGTGTGCGACTAATGCGAACATAACTTAACTGTAATTTAACTTCGTGCGAATTAATATTGGCGCCATAAGATGCGACGCTAATGCCACGCAACTGGATCGGAAAGTATCCTGACACCCATCACCTATCGCCATGCGAACCATGACCATTGAAACCAATCACCATGGAAACAATCGCCATGGGAATCCCCATCATCATAGAAAGCATCACCATGGGAATCCATACCCTCTGCACCCATCACCATGGTATACTGGCATCCATCTCCCGTGACCATGGCAAGCATACCAAAGTTCCCATCGCCCTGGCAATAATCGCGATGGCACCTTCATCATCCACACCCATGACTATGACGCCCATCACCCGGGCTCGCCATCACCCGGGCTCGCCATCACCCGGGCTCGCCATCACCCGGGCTCGCCATCACCCGGGCTCGCCATCACCCGGGCTCGCCATCACCCGGGCTCGCCATCACCCGGGCTCGCCATCACCCGGGCTCGCCATCACCCGGGCTCGCCATCACCCGGGCTCGCCATCACCCGGGCTCGCCATCACCCGGGCTCGCCATCACCCGGGCTCGCCATCACCCGGGCTCGCCATCACCCGGGCTCGCCATCACCCGGGCTCGCCATCACCCGGGCTCCCCATCACCCGGGCTCCCCATCACCCGGAATCCCCATCACCCGGGCTCGCCATCACCCGGGCTCCCCATCACCCGGGCTCGCCATCACCCGGGCTCCTCATCACCCGGGCTCCCTCTGCACCATCGCCATGGCGATGGCTGCCACGCTCCGCTACTAACCGAGTGGGTCCCCCATCCCCTGCTCCTCCCCGACCCTCCCCGTGCCCCCCCCCCCCCCCCCCTGCCCCCCACCGTGCACGGTGCAGCGGCGTGCGGGGGGCTGCTGACGAAGGCCAACGGGACGCTGACGAGCCCAGCGTGGCCACGCGAGTACCCGCCCAGCAAGCACTGTGTGTGGCAGATCGTGGCGCCCACACAGTACCGCATCTCGCTCAGCTTCGAGGCCTTCCACCTGGAGGGCAACGATGTGAGCCGTGCCGCACGCACGCACGCACGCGAAGATCCAGCATGTAGCCTTTAACAGGCTGTTGGGGGCAAGTGCTGGTAGCCAGTAGCACCAATGATGGCTGGCTCAGCGCACGAGGGGGTAGTGTGGTTAACGCTACGATTAGCACGGTTGACTAGGTACGGTGCAAAAGAAGTTCAACGTACATGCACGCTGCATAGGGCTGAGTCGACCTAGGGGGGAGGGAGGGTGCACAGGACCCGTTCAATTGTTTCGTCACTGATATTGGATCGGTTTGGGCGAATGGAAGCGGGGATTCCACGGTGTTCACGACGCGGGCCTCGCTAACCACTCGCTCGCGCGTGCGCCAGGTGTGCAAGTACGACTACGTGGAGGTGCGCAGTGGCCTGTCGGCAGACTCGAAGCTGCACGGGAAGTTCTGCGGCAGCGAAGTCCCCTCGGTCATCACCTCGCAGTCCAACAGCCTCCGTGTCGTCTTCCACTCGGACAACTCCATGTCCAAGCAGGGCTTCAAGGCCTACTTCTTCTCTGGTCAGACGCGCGCACTCATCCGCTCACTCACCCATCCACTCGTCGATTCTCACCTCACTTAACAACAAACTCCATTCGTCACTAAGTGGCGGTGACGTCACTATGGCGCTTGTGCCAGGCGATGTGCACGTTAACGCCACGTGAAGTGTCGAACGCCCGCTAGCAGGAGGTCACGGGACAGACCCAGGTGTCACGGGTCGACTGAGATGACTGGCTGATGCACCACCTGTGCCCCCTACTGTGTCAACCTGCTGTGCTTTAGCCACCTGGCACTCCACTTATTTGTCGAGAGTTGCTCCTCTGCCCTCCGTTGTTGCTGGAGGGCGATTGCCTCCAACTGCCCGGCAGCGTCCTTCACGAGCCTCCTCCACAGAGGCCAATCTTGACACCGCTGGTACCAGTCATCGGTTAGTCCACTCAGCTCCACATCCACCTGTACTGCATCACTCAATCTCTTCTCTAGCCCGTGGCGCGTCTGTTCAGTTCCCTCTATTCGGCCGAACAAAACCTGTTTAGGCATGCAGTGGCTGGGCATGCCGGCTACATGACCTCGCCACCTCCCTCTCACCTAATCCACCCACACCACCTACCTCGCTCACCTCATCCACCCACTCACCTCAACCATCCACCCCACATACTCACTCACCTCTCTCACTCATCTCGTCCACACCCACCCTTACCTCATCTACACCCACCCACCTCGTCCACTCACCCACCCACCCACCCTCACACCTCGTTTGCAGCGACCCTCACCGTCTACACTCACTCACCATGTCCACCCACTCACCTCGTCCACCACTCACCTCGTCCACCCACTCACCTCGTCCACCATCTGCTACTTGGCTCGCATCGCTCCACTTGGGAATTCCATCATCGTCTCTTGTTCCCAAGGCTCTTACAACAACGTCCTTGCTCAATGTGAGACACGGGTGTCTTACAGTTGGGGGGGGGGGGTGTTTAAACATCGCCACTGGTGAGACAAAGGCGGCCGGGCGTGGAGCTGTCCACCCACCCCTTCCTGTGTCCCAGTGCCGGCCTTCATAGGTGCTGCTCGCTAACAGCACTTGCCCCAAGTCTGTCAAGGCTATACGGGGGAATCTTTGTATTTGCCTTTGTTGACCGCACACGTGCACACAAAGATAAAGATCCCCCGTTAAGCCTTAAGACTGTGGGGGCAAGCGCTGATAGCGAGCACCTATGTAAGGCTGGAATGGCACATGAGGGGGTGGGTGACCAGCACCATGCCCGACCGCCTTTGCCTCCTCAGTGACGATGTATACACACCGCACCAGGTACTCATTGAGGCCGAGTCGACCTAGGGGAGGCCCAGGACCGGTTCAGATAATCGTCATTGGTTGTTGGCCGTGAGCGGGAATCGAACCCGCGTCGCCGGGTTCATAGCGTTAACCGCTCCACTACCGCTTCCCACTACACACACACGGGCGCATAGCTTGAGTGGACTGCACTGCCTCCGTGTCCACCGCACAGCCCAAGCGTGCTGGCACCGCCCTCGCATCCTCATCTCTGTCGCCCAAGGGCAGCGCGGCCACAGAGAGGGGGAGCGCGCGTGGGACCCCGCTCGGCGGTAGGGGGCGCTGTCAAGGTCATCTCCGGGAGGGGGAAGATTTGTGTCTGTGTGTCTCTGTGTGTGTGTGTCTGTGTGTGTGTGTCTGTGTGTCTCTGTGTGTGTATGTGTGTCTCTGTGTTTGTCTGTGTGTGTCTGTGTGTTTGTCTGTGTGTGTGTCTCTGTGTGTCCGTGTGTCTGTGTGTGTCTGTGTGTGTGTGTGTCTGTGTGTGTGTCTGTGTGTGTCTCTGTGTGTGTGTGTGTGTGTCTGTGTGTGTGTCTGTGTGTGCTGTAGACAAGGACGAGTGTGCCAAGGATAACGGCGGCTGCCAGCACGAGTGCGTGAACACGGTGGGGAGCTACGTGTGCCGCTGCCGCCAGGGCTACTCGCTGCACCCCAACCAGCACGACTGCAAAGAGGGTGAGGATCGCCCCGCCCATGCGAACCCTGACCCTCCAACCCTGACCCCTAACTGACCCCCCCGTCCCCCGTAATCCCAAGGAGGGGGGAGACCCCCACCAAGTATATAGGAGGTCGTGTGGGTTCGATCCTGATCCTGACGCCTGCTGCTGTATATTTGGAGTTGGCGACGTCTCTTTCCCCCGTGGTTGCAGGGATTTTTCTCAGGGTCCTGCGTGTTTTTCCCCTCCACACTTAAGGCTCAACATCAGCACGCGTTGAGAGTATTTGGCTGCTATAAATTCCCAAACGATAAGCCGCTCCCCATTGCTCTATCACTTGTGGCCAGGTCGTCTCTGAAAAAGAGAGCCGTATAGCTCAGTGTGGGCCTTAGCTGGTAAAATTAAAATGTAATTGTTTAACAAAAGTTTTCTTGAATTGTTGCTTAACGCTAACCCCAATCCCAACGCTAACCCCAATCCCAATGCTAACCCAAAATCCTCTAACCCTGCCCCCTACACCACCCCTGCAACCGCCCCCCCTGGGTCTGGCTACCCATGTACGTTTGGATCTCGCGTGTCCTGTGTGTGCTTTTCATGTCCCACGCGTCTCGCGTCACATGTCCCGTGTGACGTGCACCCCCAGCTGGCTGCAAGCAGCGCGTGGACAGCGCGGAGGGAATCATCACGAGCCCCAACTGGCCGGACCGCTACCCGAGCCGCAAGGAGTGCACGTGGACCATCACCGCCACGCCCGGGCACCGCGTCAAACTGGTACCACGGCAGCTCCGCAGGCGGCGGCGGCGGCGGCATCACGAGCGCGGTCGCACTGATCGCGCCGGGATCGAGCGGCGTCACGGATTTCGAATGCGATCACGGCGTGAGCTCAGGATCGTCGTGGATATCGCGCGACCTTGGCATGATCGCGGTGCGGGCTCAAAATCGCGCCGAGATCAGAGATCATGGTGAAATCGTGCCAAGATCACAATGCCGTTACAGTGAAAACCCTCCGAGATCGCACTGCTGTCATGGTGAAATCACGGCAAGATTGCACTCCCGTCACAGTGAAATCACTCCGCGATCGCACTGCCGTAACGGTGAAATCACGCCGACATCATCGCACTGCGGTCACATCACATGACAACGCAGCCAAGCTCTCGCCTAGATCATGCTGGCAAATCCCATCACAACATTACACCCAGCTCACACCATGAAACCAAGACTTGTGACCCACTGTGGTTACAGGTGCGACTATGGTGGCTGTCATAGTGGTTGGCGTCACTGCAGCTGTGGTTGCGGCCGCCTTGCTGCAGCTGCATTGGTATGGTCGTACGTACGCACGCGTATATGTTGTAACGTCTTTCACGCGGTACGTAGCCAACCGTGCTCATCGGAGGATGTTGTTGGTGTGGCTGTCGAGGTTGTGAATCTGTGGTTGCAGCTGCGTGGACATCTCGGTTGAGGGCTGTGTGGTTGTGATGGTTGGCGTAAATCATGAGTCGCGGTAGCTTCGTGGTTGCGATGGTTGTGGTGGTTGCCGCTCCAGGCGTTCAAGGAGTTCGAGGTGGAGCCGCACCAGGACTGCGCGTACGACCACGTGGAGGTGTTCGACGGCGAGAACTCGGGGGCGCCATCTCTCGGCCGCTTCTGCGGCATGCGGCGCCCGCTGCCCGTCGTCTCGTCGGGCAGCGCCATGCTGCTCAAGTTCTTCTCCGACGCATCCAAGCAGCGCAAGGGCTTCCAGGCGACGCACTCCACCGGTGAGACGCTCGCGCCAAGAGGGGGATACACGGGGACGGACCGGCACGGGGATACACGTGGTCTCCCCGTGCCTTTCCATATCTCCCCGTGATCTCCCCGTTCTTGCCTCGACTCTACCTAGCATCACCTCGTGTCTCCCCTGTAACCTCAACAACATGCTTCTCCCACATCTTTCCCCCCTGGGTCTCTCCCCTGGGTCACTCCCCAACATCGCGTCTCGTCTCTCCGCATGGCCTACCCCCCCCCCCGACCCCGTGCTGCGGCACTGCAGAGTGTGGAGGGCGCCTGCAGGCGACGGTGCGCACGCGCGACCTCTACTCGCACGCGCAGTTCGGCGACAACACGTACCCCGCGCAGGCCGACTGCGAGTGGCAGCTGTGGGCCGAGGGCGGCTACGGGGTCGAGCTGATCTTCCGCACCTTCGAGATGGAGGAGGACCAGGACTGCACCTACGACTTCCTCGAGGTGCTGGACGGCGTGGGCCCCGGCGTGCAGCCCCTCGCCCGCTACTGCGGCGCCGGCGTGAGTACCGCACCTCGGGCCTTCACCCGGCTCGGCGCTCGGGGCCTTCGGTTCAGGCTTCGGTCTCCCTGTGCTGTCGCCTGGTGATGCGAGTTGCAATTGCTGGCGAAAACGTCGTAGTCGGAGTGTAAATGTTGTCGATTTGATCTCCAACGCACATGGTGGTGCTGTAACTAGCAACGAATTGGCACGTTCTGTTTACGCGACGAGCCTTACTAATTTGCCGTGTCCGCTGGTGGCGGGTTTAACGACACATTTCCATTCACGTGATCCAACTTAAAGCAAACCTATATTATGGATGTAGGCTTTCGCAGCCAATATTATCTATAAAGTTAAGTTTTTTATTTTATCTCCCCACCACTACTTTTTCCCGGAGCCGTCGTTTCGAGCCTTCACCCTCCCCCCCCCCCCCCCCAGCCGTTTTAATTAATTCCACGCAGCCTCTGCAGAACCACCGGCAGGGTGTGGGTCCGCTTCACATTGGCTGGCCGTCGAACGAAGACGGCCGCCGCATCGCGCGCTTGCGGATGCGTTTCTGCGGCCGTCTGGAACGCCCTTCCTTTCCGATATTCGGAAGCCACTGGAGCGGTGCACTTTTAAATCATATCGATTAAAAAATTTGTGTTTGGTTTGTTGTCCTGCCCCCCCCACCCCCGCACGCGGTTGACTACGTACTGTGCGGAAGAAGTTCAACACACACACACATTTGGACCTTCACTCCGACCTTCATGCAATCACCTTACACCCTCGCTCCACCTTGCAGGGCCTTACAGGCGCCACTCCCCCCCCATCTCATCCGTACATTTTAAAAGAGCGTCACGGAACGTGCGCGTGGGTGGAGAGCGTGAATTTGGAGTGCCGACGTAGATTAGGAGCGCCCAATGAGTACGAGCGGCATCATGACTGCTGTTAGCTGTGGCAAGAGAGACGTCGAGTGGCTGAGATCCCAATGGAGAATGCGAGTGGCAGTGTGACTTCGGTGGTGATAAGACTGCGGGGGGCCGAATCATCCCCCCCCCCACTCCCGCCCCCCACTCCCCCGCACAGCCCTCGGAGCCGGTGTACAGCACGGGGGACAAGTTGGTGCTCCGCTTCCACTCAGACGACTCGATCAACAAGAAGGGCTTCCACCTGCGCTTCACGAGCACCGGCTTCCAGGACGCCCTGCAGGAGGAGCAATAGCACTCCTGAGTTCCCCCCCCCCCCCCGACCCCTCCAGCCTCTGCCCCCTGCTCACCGGCCCACCGTTAGCCCCCCAGACTGGCGCGAGCCTTTCCACGAACTGCTCAGTCGCACTTCTCCGCCGACCTTTGTAAGAGAGGAGGGTTTTTTTGTTGTTTTCCCCCACCCCTGTGGATTTTAACCCAGCATCCTCATCCCCCGCCCATCGGCCCCCCCATCCCCTTCGTGTGTGTCGGGCTGTAAGCCGCTCCCATTCCTGTCAGAGCGCTGTAGTCGACCGTACAGGGAGGCCTGCCGCTGTTTGTGAATGACGTCGTGCGGTGTGGCCGGGGCTGTCCAAAGACAACAGCAGACCCGCTCCTATGCAACGCGGGGAACCGTTGCCATATCCAGCGATCGCCTATTATCCGTCTACCTGCCTGAGCTGTGCCTTATGAGTAAATGGGACAAACGCCATGACCCTTGTTGTTGTCCGATAACGCGGGGAAACAAGGCGGGAGGGAGGGGGGGACCTCGTACAAATATTTTTTGTTGTAAACAACTCGTCTTGTCGTAGCGCCGGAGGAATTGGCGCGCGACGTACGGTGCTTGGGCGCGACCTCGTGATCACGCACCTGCGGTCATCGGGGCCAGGTGTGCACGCGAGTCTGTCTGCCTGTGTGCGTCCATGTGCGATTAGTTAGCAAAAGGCACAGGGCAGCAGCAGAAGGGAGCGGTGGGGACGGGGCAATACCGATGAGTCCTGATGAGGGCGAAACCGGTGGACGGCCATCTCTCGGTTTCCGCTGCTGCCCGTTCTCCGTGTCGGTGCTCCGACTAAACGTCGCCACGGCCACGTGTTCAGCTCTTTTTGAGTTGGTGGTCTGGACAAGGCTGCGATGATTTGTGCCTTTCCCTGCTCTTTGTGCGTACACCCTCCGCGTGTCCGGGAGGTCTTCGCCACTCCTCCCGTTGCCTCTCCCTGGGAGAGGGCGAGTACTCTCTCTTTACCTGTTCTACGTTAACCGCCCTGTGAATTGCACTCACCGTGTGGGAACCAAAAACACGCCACGGGATCAACGGAATAAATGTGAATATCCCTCCCAGCGCCTCTCCTCCCCCACCTTCCGTGATAAGTGGTACGGTCCGAACGGTAACCTCCACAACCCGAGTTGCATTCGGTCCACCGGTACTGGACTTCACCATTCCACACGATGGTGTGGGGGTGGTGGCAGGGCAGGTGACCTCGAGCCACCCGCCTGCAGCGGCACCCACAACACAGTGAGCTCCAGTTTGTGCCAATCACGGGCAGGGTGGGGTGGGTGGGGGGGCGAGCGAGCGAACCTGAAAAACCGTGCGGAGTGTGGGGGGGGGGGGGGGGGTTGCTGGCACTGGGCAGAGCGCAGTCCGACCAACGGGGAGCTGTGCCGAGTCCGGTGACTCCTGGTCGTGACGCCAGTGCCGCACAACCCGTGTAGCGGCGGTTTACTCCACTACACCGTGCCGCAGAGCGGCCTTACCCCGAGCGAGCGCCGTTCACACCTAGGGCTGCCACCACCACCAGCGCCGTCGCCGAGCGAGCACCGTTTCCATGGGCGCCATCGCCACGGTGACCACGCTCCGCTCCCTGCTCCAACGACGATACCCATTTCCGTTGCGGTGACGTGTCTGGAGGGGGGTGGGGGGGGGGGGAATCTGCAGGCAACGCGAGCGGCGAGCGAGGAAGAGGCGAGACCTTGACAGGGAAAAGCAGAGCCACTATTTATTTGTCTAACGCGTTGACACAGAACTCTTGAACGGATACAATCAACTACCGCGTTTTCGTGATCGGAGGAAGGTGGGGGGGGGGGTGGTGGCAGCGGGCGTGGTGGTGGGGGAGGGGGGGTGTTAGGTGGGGAGCGGAGTCTGGTACTTTCTAGAAACCCGGAGGCATCCCTCGCTGTTACTGGAGCCGGTTCGCGGGGCCCACCAACCCCCCCCACCCACAGTTCACTGATCGAGACGGAGTCCGAGCATTGGCACGGCCGCGGCAGCGCTCGCACGATGACTGCATGCGGAGCGACACTTTACTGCCCCCCACCCCGCCCCCCACCCCGCCCCCTCAGCGCACAATGCACGCCCCTCGACGTGGAACGAACGGAAACCACCTTCGGTTAAATTCATTAAAGTCAATTTTTAAAACGACAGCGACCGGGGCTTCTTCACTCTGCGTGTGAACCTCTCTGGCCGGAACGATCGCCGCGTTCTAACCGTCGGGGCCTGGCGCGTGGGGAGGTGAGTGTGGGGGGGGGGGAGGTGAGTGTGGGGGGGGGGGGTGGAGGGGGGGGGGGGGGGGAGGGGGGGGGGCATGCACAGCATTGGGGGCGTGGGGTACAGGGTTCACCGCAGGCCACACACTGTCACCAACATCTCCCGGCGGGCGTTCTCTCCGAAAAGCGCCAACACGTTAAATTATCTCCGACTCGGCGCGATCTGCACGGCCTTTCTCACAACCAGGACATCATTGCACGGGGGAGGGGGAGCAGAAGGAAACAAACACGCAACTCCACAAATTATAAAGTGACACAACCAAGAGTGATTATATTATAATAATACTGCACAGCTATAGCAACACTCCACGATTACAACAATGGCAGCGGCGGCAGCTACCACCCACCACGGCCACGCAGAGACAAGGGGGCATTTCGGTTCCATCTCCCATCACGTTGCGAACACGGCCAGAGCACTCGCAGATTCCCCACAGCCCCCTCCCCCCCCGGGGTATAGGGATAGCGGTCCCCCCCTTGACAGGTCCACCACAATCGAGTTGATGGTCCCCACCCCTTGACAGAGGGGGGGTCCCCCTTACGATTGTCCCGCCCATACTGGACATCCGTGACCGTGAGAGCTTCATCGCCCGTGGGATTCCTCCTCCTGCAGTCTCTAAATAAAGATTCGGATTGACAGCCCGGTCTGACACGCATTTTAACTCGCGGGGAAATCTGACCCAGATATTAAATCAGGAAACGAGGAGGTCCCTGCCAAGTATTGAGTACCCCCCCTCCTCTGCCTTTGATGTGGCTGACGAGTCCCCTTTGACTGACAGAGGGGGGGGTCCATTTGGACAGGCGAGCCCCCCTTCATGCAGGCAGGTCTCGCCGGGGCTGTAACCAAGTCCCCTTGCACTGAAATCGGTTCCTATGGATAGAGGAATGCCTTTTGAGAGGGGGGATTCCGGAACAGAGACAGGACAGGGGTCCCCTTGGCAATAGAGGACCCCGCACCTTGAGTAAAGGGGGGGCGGGGAGGGGGGGTTCTCTCTCCCCTGGGACCCTCTGAAATGACGACGTTCAACACCGAGTCCCTTCCACCCCCCCCTCGCCGTGGGGGGAACCGGTGCCCGCTCAGACCCATCCTCGCTCTGCAAGCGAGCAAAGATTCGCGAAAGCACGCACAACACCCCATCGTTCCACGTCGCGCTCAGCATAGCCAACGCGGTTTACACTTGGGGGGGGGGGGGGGGCGGGGGGGGGGGGAGGAAACAAGCAGTGGGGGGCTGGGTGGGGGGGGGGGTACACACAGTGGCCATTCCGCGTCCGTGGCTGCGTCTCAGAAGTTGAGCGTCTCGGACATCATCTTCCACCACGTGAGCATCTCCTCCTTCTCCTCCTCGCGGTGCGCGTTGGACGTCAGGTCGAAGTTCAGCTGTGGGGAGAGGGGAGGGGGCAACGGACAGGGGAGGTCGCTCCGAGCCCACGACCGCTGGCTCACCATGCATCACTAATACAGCTGCGTCATCGCCACCACGTCGTTATCATCACCACGTCGTTATCATCACCACGTCGTCATAATCACCACCGTGTCGTCATCACCAACACGTCGTCATCACCAACACGTCATCATCACCAACACGTCATCATCACCAACACATCACGACCATGTCATCATCACCACCACGTCATCACCAACACATCATCGTCACCACTGCGTCGCCATCATCATCACAACCCGGAGTGGGGGGCCGCTTGCCTTGGTGGGGGGGCTGTAAGCGACCGCCACCTTCTTGGTGACGCTCTGGAAGCCCGGTGCCGACGCCGTCACCTGGTAGTCCCCGGGCACCAGCAGGCGCCAGTAGTCCCCGTCCCTCGCTGCACGCACACACACACACGCGCAAAGGTCCCCCGTATAGCCTTAACAAGCTTTTTGAGGCAAGTGCTGTTCGCGAGCACCTATGAAAGCCGGGGCAGTGTCCAACCGCCTTTGTCTGCCTAGTGGCGATGTTTACACACTGCACCAGATACTAATTTCAGACAGAGTCAACCTAGGGGAGGCTCAGTTCAAATATTCGCCACCGGTGTTGACCGCGAGCGGGAGTCGAACCCGGTTCGCCAGGTTCGTAGCGCAGCGTAGCGCGCCAACCACTACGCCACCGCTCCCAAACACACACACTGGCACACACCGACACACACACTGACACACACACTGGCACACACCGACACACACACTGGCACACACCGACACACTGACACACACACCGGCACACACCCTGACAAACACACACACTGCCACACACCGACACACACCGACAGACACCGACACACACTGACACACACTGACAGACACTGACACCCACTGACACCCGCTGACACACACACTGACACTGCCACACACCGACACACACACACACTGCCACACACCGACACACACTGACACACACCGACACACACTGACATCCACCGACACACACTGACACACACTGACACACACTGACATCCACCGACACACACCGACATACACTGACACCCGCTGACACACACTGACACACACTGACACACACCGGCACACACCCTGACACACACACTGACACACACACTGACACACACACTGACACACACACTGACACCCGCTGACACACACTGACACACACTGCCACACACTGACACACACGCCGACACACGCCGACACACACTGACACACTGACACACACTGACACACACACTGCCACACACTGACACACACGCCGACACACGCCGACACACACTGACACACTGACACACACTGACAGACACTGACACACACCGACACACACACTGACACACACACTGACACCCACTGACACACACTGACACCCACTGACACACACTGACACACACACACAGGACATGTCCGACTCCTTGTTTACACGTGGCAACAGGTGGTCACTTGAGGCCGAGTCGACCCGGCACACGCACGGCGCAAGCGTCAGACCAAGCGTTGTGGCGCGCGGTCTCTTGCCGACAAGCCAACGCCAACGCCCGCTTCCGCTCGCCGCCGCCGCCGCTCGTCAAGAGACGCGTGGGCGAGGAGGGCGCCTACCTGTGGTGATGTCGTGAGCGATGCCCTTGACGGAGATGGTGGCGTTGGCGATGGCGCGCTCGTTCTCGTCGCGCACCAGCCCCTTGATCCCACGGTGCACCTGGGCACCGGCAGGTGGGGGGGGGGGGGGCAGGGGTGCGGGAGGAAGTGAAGAGTGAGAGAAGGGAGTGGAGAGCGAAGGAGAGAGGGAGGGGAGTGAGTGGAGAGGGGAGTGAGTGGGGAGGGGAGTGAGTGGGGAGAGAGAGGGGAGTGAGTGGGGAGGGGAGTGAGTGGGGAGAGGGAGGGGAGTGAGTGGAGAGGGGAGTGAGTGGGGAGAGAGAGGGGAGTGAGTGGAGAGCGAGGGAGTGTGAGTGAGGGGGGAGTGAGTGGAGAGCAAGTGAGGGGGGAGCAAGTGAGGGGGGAGTGAGGGGGGAGTGAGTGAGGGGGGAGTGAGTGAGTGAGGGGGGAGTGAGTAAGTGGAGTGTGAGTGAGGGGGGAGTGAGTGAGGGGGGAGTGAGTGGAGAGTGAATGAGGAGAGTGAGTGGAGGCTGAGTGAGGGGGGAGTGAGTGAGTGGAGAGTTAAGTGAGGGGGGAGTGAGCGAGGGAGGAGTGAGGGGGGAGTGAGTGAGTGGAGTGTGAGTGAGGGGGGAGTGAGTGAGTGGGGAGTGAGTGGAGAGCGAGGGAGTGTGAGCGAGTGAGTGTAGAGCGAGCGAGTGGAGACTGAGCGAGTGGAAGCTGAGTGATGGGGGGCGGTGCGTGGCACCACCTGCTGTACGTAGCTGACGAGCGAGTCGCGGTTCTCGCGCCAGTAGCGGCGCAGCTCCCGCTCCGCCGGGAACTTCTCACAGCTCAGCTCCAGCGTGATCTCAAAGCAGTTGCTGCTCAGGTAGTTGAAGTCCTGCATGCCTGTACACGCAACACGGTGTGAGGGGGGGGGGGCAGCACGGGGGGGGGGGCAGCACGGGAGGGGAGGCAGGGAAGGGGGACGGATCAGCAGGACAACAGCAACGTGTGAAAACTAAGGGTAGGGTTTTACCTTTTCCGGCAATGTAAATACATTCAAACACCAAGTAGAACCCCTTTTGCAAGGAATCACGTCTGGATTAAACCGCACGTGCCTGCGGCAAAAGGTGCAAACAGCCAGACTCCGATGGTTTAATCTAATGCAAGCGTTTGTCTTTGATACTGATTGGCCCACACCAGAAATAGCCTTCTGTACGGTCTTGTCTCTGCACCAGTGTCCCATCGACAACAACAACAACAACGTTCGCCATTCACCACCGAGAGTGAGGGGGCAAGGCGATGGGACGAGCGAGGAGCGGGGGTGAGGCTCGGGTGAGGGGCTGGCGACGATGATGACGACGACGACGGCGATGATGATGACGACGACGGCGATGATGATGACGACGATGTGTGTGGAGCAGCTCACGGCAGGCGAGGGAAGGGAAGAGGCCAAGGAGCGAGTGTCTGTTGCAAGTGCCGGGAGGAGCGGGGGGGGAAGGGGGGGAAGGGGGAAGGGGGCGGGGGTGACGCACCTCCCGGCACGCTGTACCACGCCGCGCCGTTGGTGGTGCCGTTGACGAAGCGGTCGTCCCCCTCCATGTCGCAGGGCGGGCGCCGCAGGTTGGACATGACCGGGTGCGGCAGGGAGTAGGCGAGCGCCAGGCTCTTGAAGACCACGTCGTCCGGGCAGGCCGTGTACTGCTGGTCGGTGCCTGTGGGGCGGCGGTGCGAGGCAAAGACAAAGATCCCACCCCCACCCGTGTAGCCTTAACAGACCGTTCGGGCAAGTGCTCTGAGGAATCAGAGGGTTTTTACGAATATAAGTGTGTCGTTAAACCCGCCACCACCCGACACAGACAATTTGTAAGGTTTTGACACGTTCACAAAATGTGCCAATTACAGTGAGGGAAAAAAAGTATTTGATCCCCTGCTGATTTTGTACGCTTGCCCACTGACAAAGAAATGATCAGTCTGTAATTTTAATGGTAGGTTTATTTGAACAGTGAGAGACAGAATAACAACAAAAATCCAGAAAAACGCATGTCAAAAATGTTATAAATTGATTTGCATTTTAATGAGGGAAATAAGTATTTGACCCCTCTGCAAAACATGAATTAGTACTTGGTGGCAAACCCCTTGTTGGCAATGGCAGAGGTCAGACGTTTCTTGTAGTTGGCCACCAGGTTTGCACACATCTCAGGAGGGATTTTGTCCCACTCCTCTTTGCAGATCTTCTCCAAGTCATTAAGGTTTCGAGGCTGACGTTTGGCAACTCGAACCTTCAGCTCCCTCCACAGATTTTCTATGGGATTAAGGTCTGGAGACTGGCTAGGCCACTCCAGGACCTTACTGTGCTTCTTCTTGAGCCACTCATTTGTTGCCTTGGCCGTGTGTTTTGGGAATACCCATCCACGACCCATTTTCAATGTCCTGGCTGAGGGAAGGAGGGTTCTCACCCAAGATTTGACGGTACATGGCCCTGTCCATCGTCCCTTTGATGCGGTGAAGTTGTCCTGTCCCCTTAGCAGAAAAACACCCCAAAGCATAATGTTTCCACCTCCATGTTTGACGGTGGGGATGGTGTTCTTGGGGTCATAGGCAGCATTCCTTCTCCTCCAAACACGGCAAGTTGAGTTGATGCCAAAGAGCTCCATTTTGGCCTCATCTGACCACAACACCTTCACCCAGTTGTCCTCTGAATCATTCAGATGTTCATTGGCAAACTTCAGACGGGCATGTATATGTGCATTTTTGAGCAGGGGGACCTTGCGGGCGCTGCAGGATTTCAGTCCTTCACGGCGCAGTGTGTTACCAATTGTTTTCTTGGTGACTATGGTCCCAGCTGCCTTGAGATCATTGACAAGATCCTCTGTGTAGTTCTGGGCCGATTCCTCACCGTTCTAATGATCATTGCAACTCCACGAGGTGAGATCTTGCATGGAGCCCCAGGCCGAGGGAGATTGACAGTTCTTTTGTGTTTCTTCCATTTGCGAATAATCGCACCAACTGTTGTCAGTCACCTTCTCACCAAGCTGCTTGGCAATGGTCTTTTAGCCCATTCCAGCCTTGTGTAGGTCTACAATCTTGTCCCTGACATCCTTGGAGAGCTCTTTGGTCTTGGCCATGGTGGAGAGTTTGGAATCTGATTGATTGCTTCTGTGGACAGGTGTCTTTTAAACAGGTAACAAGCTGAGATTAGGAGCACTCCCTTTAAGCGTGTGTTCCTAATCTCAGCTCGTTACCTGTATAAAAGACACCTGGGAGCCAGAAATCTTTCTGATTGAGAGGGGGTCAAATACTTATTTCCTTCATTAAAATGCAAATCAATTTATAATATTTTTGACATGCGTTTTTCTGGATTTTCTTGTTATTCTGTCTCTCACTGTTCAAATAAACCTACCATTAAAATTATAGACTGATCATTTCTGTCAGTGGGCAAACGTACAAAATCAGCAGGGGATCAAATACTTTTTCCCTCACTGTAGTTACGAGCACACCACAGCACACCGGTGTGTTGGAGTGTAACCAACTATCACGTTTTGTCATCCCCCCGCCCACGTGACTCCCCCCACCCCCGTGACTCCCCCCCCCCCGTGACTCCCCCCCCCCCGTGACTCCCCCCCCCCCGTGACTCCCCCCCCCCCCCGTGACTCCCCCCCCCCCGACTCCCCCCCCCCCCGTGACTCCCCCCCCCCCGTGACTCCCCCCGCCCCCCGTGACTCCCGCCCCCGTGACTCCCCCCCCCGCCCCCGTGACTCCCCCCCCCCCGCCCCCGTGACTCCCCCCACCCCCGTGACTCCCCCCGCCCCCGTGACTCCCCCCCGTCTCCCCCCAACCCCGTCACCCCCCACCCCGTCTCCCCCCACCCCCATGTCACCCTTCCCCCCGTGTCGCCCCCCCCCCCACGTGTCCCCCCCACCCACCGTATCCACCTCCCGTATCTCCCCCCCCCCCCCGCCTCACCCGTGCGTGTCTCGTCGTACGGGTAGTTGGCCACGATGTCTCCTCCGTGCAGGTTTGCCGACAGCACGAACGGCACGTCCATGATCCAGTGGATCATCGCCTTGGTCTCGGGCGCCATCTGTGCCACGGCCGCGACACAGGGCGGCACGGAGGGGATGTGCGATGAGTGGCCGTGTGGTTATAAAAACTAAAAACGATTTTTATTTTACCAGGTGAGGACCCCCCACTGAGCTATGGAGCTTTTATTTTTCAGAAGAGACCTGGCCACAAACGTGGAAATGTGTAGCAGGCAAATACTCGGAACGCACGTCCTTAAGCGTAAACTCCAAATCTACAGCAGCAGGCGTCGGGGTCGAACCCACGACCTCCTGCACACCAGGTGAGGTAGTTAACATCTCCTAGCCACCGATGTTATGGGAGGAGTGCGTATGCGGGTGTGGATGCAACAGTGAGCGGGGTGTGTGGCTGCAAGGTGAGGAGTGGGCACTGTATGTGGCTACGGGAATAGTGGGTGTGCAGGAGAGTGGGGGCGTGGGATGAGTGGGAATGTGTGGCTGTGCTAGTGAGTAAGTGGATGAGCGAGTGTGTGGGCGAATTGGTGAGCGAGCGAGTGAGTGGATGAATGATTGTGTCGGCGACTTGGTGAGCGAGTGAGTGGGCGAGTGGGTGGGCGAGTGGGTGGGCGAGTGGGTGGGCGAGCGGGTGGGCGAGCGGGTGGGCAAGCGGGTGGGCGAGTGGGTGGGCGAGTGGGTGGGCGAGTGGATGAGCGAGCGTCCGGGCGAGTTAGCGAGCCGAGTGCGTGGGTAAGCAAGCTCGCGTGCGAGTGGGGGGGGGGGTGGGGGGCGACACGGAGAGGACGGGAGACACGTTGGGCGAGTGGCCAGGCGTGTGGGCGAGCGTGAACGAGCGAGCGACGGGGAGCGGGGCGGCTCCCACGCACCCGGGGGTCGTTGTCCACGCGTGCCCGCAGGTCGTGCAGCAGGTGGTTGTTGGCGCCGCCGGTGCGCTCGTTGGCGTACACGATGCGGTCCAGGTCCGGGAAGTTGCGGTTGAGGTCGACTCCCTGGGCGTTGTTCCGTCCCAGCAGCCAGTCCTTGTCCGGGCCGTCCTGGGCAGCGCGCGGGGGAGGGGGGGACGCCGATCGTCATAATCGTCACCATCAAATAACGTTCACTTTCTCACCCCATTTCCAGAAGCAGCTGTAGGGCTGTCTGCGAGTTTTACGAGACGCTCGAGGCAACGGCCTCGTCCCTCCTCGCTGGCACCACGCGCTTTGCTGTTGCTGTGTTTTTATTCGTTTTGCTGTTGTTGTTGTTGTTGCTGCTGCTGCGGTGGTAACCTAGGTGGCTCTTGCAAAATGAGGTTCTTCTATCCTGGCCTCTACAGTTCTCACCTGAAGTTGAACAAAATCAACTAGAGCAGTCTGCAATGCTCTCTCGCCCACTCACCCACCCATCCGCTCTCATTGTCTAGCTCGCCCACTCACCCGCTGTGACCCGCTCTCAATGTCTAGCTCGCCCACTCACCCGTTCACCCGCTCTGGCCCGCCCACTCACCCGTTCACCCGCTCTCGCTCGCTCACTCACCCGTTCACCCGCTCACTCACCCGTTCTCGCTTGCCCACTCACCCGTTCACCCGCTCCGGCTCGCCCACTCACCCGTTCACCCGCTCCGGCTCGCTCACCCGCCGCTCTCCGGCTCGCTCACCTGGCTGGCGGCGAGCTCGAACCCGTCGGGGTTCATGCTGGGGATGATGTGGATGCGCGTGCTGTGCAGGAGGTTCACGATGGTGCGGTTGCCACGCTTGTACTCGGCGCACAGGTACTGCGCCAGGTTGATGAGCAGCTCACGCCCCACCGCCTCGTTGCCGTGCATGTTGCCCACGTACTTGAACTCCGGCTCGCCTGCGGTGGGGGGGGGGGGGCACAGTCAAGGGCAGCCAGGCTAGACAGGACGTCTGTGAAAAAGAGCTTTATAGCTCATCGGATTCCTCCAGTATAAATATTCAAACTGTGATTCGGCCACGCCAGCCCGCCAAACTCGTGCCGGACCACGCCGCGAAAGATCTAATGCCGTCCGGACACGCGCAGGGCAAGTGTCGCACGGTCGACGTGCCCCGCAGCGTTAACCGGGGCGGCCTGCCGGATTCCAACCAGCCTCTACCGCCGACCGGCGCGGCCGCTCCCCCGCTGGGCTCCCCCCCCCCCCCCCCCCGCCCCCCAGTGGCCCCCTCCTGGGGCCCGTTGAACGTCCCGGCCAGGACGGTGTCACAATTCGCGACGTCCGGTGGGGTGGGGAGGCGGTGGAGCAGGAGCCACACTCGCGCCTCGTTGCTCGAAGGCCCCGGGGGGGGGTTCGAGTCCCGACTCGGGTGCCTTTCCGCGCGCAGGTTGTGTGTTCTCTCTCTCCCTCTCTCTCCCTCTCTCTCCCCCCACTATTCCGCATGCGTTTTCTCCAGTTTCTCCCATTTCCTCCTCCCATAGATAAACACACACACACAGAGCGACAGGGTATTGACGAACAACACCCCGCTGCTGAAGAAAAATACTGCAAATGACTCCACCGTCATAATCTTTATTTATTATGAAGGAATCCGATGAGCAATAAAAAGCTGTACCTGTATTTAACCAGGTAAAGCCCGCCGAGCCATATAGCTCATTTAAGTGGCTTATCACGTGGCAATGTATAGCAGCCAAATACTTTAAACGCATGTTTCTAAATGTGGAGGGAAAAGTCGCAGTCCCGGAGAAAAATCCACACCACCACGGGGAGAACATGCAAACTCAGGGTCGGAATCGGGATCGAACCCACGACCTCCTGTACACCCAGCGAGGTAGTCGACATCTCGCCACCGTGGAAAAGCATGGCAGCGACCCTCCTGACAAAGAGCCTCAGAGCTCGAGCGAGGCTTTCCCGCGTAAACAAGCGGAATTCGCTCACAACCGGCAATTTCTACAATGGGCCAATTTTGCCGAAAATGCGAAAAGCGTCGCAAAACGCCGCAAAATGGCGCGGCGGCGTCGACGCCGCCGCACCGGCGCCGTGGACGCAGAGGGCGCGCGAGCGGTGGAATTCCATCGCTCGGCGCCCGCCAGGATGTGGCGAGTCGATAATCCCGCCTGCGGCCACACGGCCAGACGGACCGACCGCGGCCACGGCTGGAATTGCCGAGCAGACCTGGGCCTGGCCGGGGCAGGGGAAGGGCAGGGCGGGGGCAGCGTTGGGTTTCTGCAGGAAGCGCTGGGTCGGTGGCTGTGAGCTGCGCGCCGCGGGAGGTCGCGCTACTCAAACGGGGAGCGCTGCTCGCACGGACGTCCAGCGGCGCCAGGGAGGGGGGCCCGGCGATAACCGCATGGCGGCGGCGGCGGCGGTTAACCCCACGGGGGTCCCGAGGAAAACCTACAACCGCCCCCGGCAACCCGCTGCCTGCTTCGATTGCCCACCCGGGGTCTCCCCTGCCCAGTTCAATCTCCCTCTCCTGCATCTGTGGCACCACCATCAGCACCACCAAGACCAACACAACCGCCATTCGCCACTAAGTGACGGTGACGTCACCACGGCGCCTGTGCCAGGCCAGGTGCACTTTGAGGCCACGTGAAGTGTCGAAGCCTCGCTGACAGGAGGTCACGGGACAGACCCAGGTGCCGTGGGTTGGCTGACCGAGATGACCAGTAGATGCACCAGCTGTGCCACCTACTGTATTTTAGCCACCCGGCACTCCGCTCATTGTTGTGAGCGTCGCTCCTCTGCCCTCCGCTCGTTGTTGTGAGCGTCGCTCCTCTGCCCTCCATTGTTGCTGGAAGGCGACTGCCTCCAACTGCCCAGTAGCGTCCTTCACGAGCCTCCTCTAAAAAGGGTGATCTTGACACCGCTGGTTCCAGTCGTCAGCAAGTCCACTCAGGGCCACATCCTCCCGTACCGCATGAGTCAGAACCACCACCATCATCAGCACCACCACCACCATCATCAGCACCACCACCACCACCAATGATGTGCGTTGGTGGTGGTGCACACCGCTGAGTAGCTAGGAACCCCGCGTGGCCGGGAGCTGCCAAGTCCCGGCGATCACGGAGCTGAGCTGACGCCGAGCCAGGCCGAGCGCCGTAATTGCACGCCGGCGCCGCGGAGCGTGAGCGGGGGGCATTCCTCATCCCCCCCCCCTCTACCCAAGGGGTCACGGGCGATCGAATTCCGGCAGTGGCCGCTGGCCACCCTCGCTCTGCCCCCCCCCTCCCCCGTGGGCAATCGACCACCGGCCGTGCTCACTGCGGCTCGGGAAGGAAAGAAGCCACGAGCCACCGTGCCCCTCCGCACCACCGCTCTACCGCGCTACCGCACCACCACTCTACCGCGCCACCGCACTACCGCACTACCGCACCACCGCACAACCGCACAACCGCTCAACGGCACAACCGCTCAATGGCACTACCGCAATGCAGCCCCTACACCCCCCTGCTCCCGCCGGCGCTCGCCATTGACTCGAAGCCGGCGAGCCAATCGGAAGCGGGGAACGTGCCGAGCGCGAGGCCCATGCCACGGTGGCTACGAGATGTTAACTACCTCGCCCGGTATGCAGGAGGTCGTGGGTTTGATTGCGACCCCGACGCCTGTTGTGGCTGCATGAATTTTCTCCGGGTCCTCCGGTTTCTCTCCCCACATTCAGAATCAGCACACGCTCAGAGTATTTGGCTACGATACATTTCCACGCAATAAGTCACTTGCCTTGAGCTATCATTTGTGATAAGCCAGGTCACTTCTGAAAAAGAGCTACATAGCTCAGTGGGCCTTACATGGTAAAAGTAAAATGTGTTTAGTTTAGTGGGCCTCACGGAGCCACAGTCAATCACAGTGGACCCCGGCGAGCAGTCCCTCTCTCCCACTCACCGGCTCAACCACCTTGCTCGCCCGCTCGCCCACTCACCCGCTAACCCACAAACTCTCTCGCCTGCTCGCCCACCCCAATTGCCCGCATGCCCGCTAACCCACAAACCTGTTCACCCATTCACACCAAAGACAAAAATCCCCCGTATAGCCTGAACAGACTGTTGTTGGGGCAAGTGCTGTTAGCGAGCACCTATGAAGGCCAGAACGGTACACGACGGGGTGGGTGGCCAGCACCACGCCCGACCGCCTTAGTCTCCCCAGTGGCAATGTTTTTATCCACCGCACCAGGTTCTCATTTGAGGCCGAGTCGACCTAGGGGAGGCCCAGGACCGGTTCAGATAATCGTCACTGGGTGTTGGCCGTGAGCGGGAATCGAACCCAGGTCGCCAGGTTCATAGCGCAGCGTAGCGCTAACCGCTACACCACCGCTCACGCATTCACTCCACCCACTGCCTCACAACTACCGCTTCTGAGCGCCTCCCTCCCTCCCTCACCTCCACTCCTCCCCCGTCCCCGCGCGTCACAAAGACGCCACGGAGAGGAGGAGGAGGAGGAGCAGGCGAGAAGTGTAAACAGGAAAGGGCCTTCGGTCTCCAGACACTTCCTGGTGATTGCGGCGATGCGCAACCCGGAGGAGGGGACTTACCCAGCAACGGGATGAGCAAATAAGCAGCAAATGCCAACAATCATGCGCCTGATAAATCCATGACGGGATTTACCAGGGAGGGGGGGGATGCGGGCGGGGTATGTGGGTGGGTGGGGTTGGGGGAGCGCGAGACCTGCCGCGGGTTTTTTTTTTGGTGCGTTTTGCTGGGACCGTCTGTTTCCAATCACTCGCGAAAATTCATCCGTGCAGGAGCCCCTCGGCGCGCGTCCAGGAATAGCCATCCAATGGGGTTACCGTGTGCCCCCCCCCACACTCCACCAGAGCTCTGTTTACCATGCCCCCCCCCGGCACCATCCCCGGCTATTACATCACTGACAGGGCCTCAGAGTCCCCCCCCACCCCGTGTCCCTCTCACAATGGCAAGGGACAAAACGACCGCTGCCGGTACCGAGCGACTCCCCGGCGGAATTCGCCAAACGTCACCGTCCATGCTCGATCCACTGCTGCACGAGCAGGCAGTTGAGCAATTTTACCCCCCCCCCCCGCAACATATTAGCGAGCGATTCCATGGATTGGGCACATCGCCCGCAACGTCGTCCGTTTTATACGCCGCGCGGCATTGTTGTTGTTGTTGTCGACATGAAACGCGTCCAGCTGTCTGACCGTGCTTGTTCACCGCATGCCCAATGCAGGCTGGACGGCCGCACCTACGAGAGGGTGGTGTGGCTGGGCCCACCACCACCACGCCCGGCCGCCTTCGTCTCCCTAGTGTTGATGTTTACACATCGCAGTAAGGTACTCATTTGAGGCCGAGTCGACCTAGGGGAGGCCCAGGACCGGTTTAGATAATCGTCACTGGACCGCCGGGTTTCGTGGCGCAGCGCGCAAACCACTACACGACCGCTCCCCCACACACGTGCACAAACACAGGCACCCCCTGTTACAGCCCGCGCAGCTAACAGTACCGCAGCCTCCCCCGTGACAACCACGTCCAACTGTACAGCGTCACAAGGAGCAAGCGGTTGCCTGGCAACCCCCATCCATTTGGGATTTCACGACAGGAAGCTGTACTCTGCGATGAGCTCTCTCTCACACACACACAAAGACAACGACACCCCGTATAGCCTCAACGGGCTGTTGGGGAAAGTGCTGTTCTAGTGAGCACCTATGAAGGCTGACGCGGCACACACACACGCAGGCACACGCACGCCATACCGCACCCACACGGATACCACTCGCTCATGCTTACCAGGTCACCCTCAGCGCATCTATATTTCCATTCCTGGTTAAATAAAGGATAAATACCACAAAGCGTCTGTTATCCGTGGAGATATGGGAGCGGGGGGACCAATACCACGGATCATATTATCTGCGGGGTTATCTGCCATTTTGTCCCTCTTATCCGCTGGGTAA